GCCAAGAGATCATCCTGGGAAATAACTAAGATGTCAAGTAAAATTAAAGCCTTCAAAATAAAAAACAAAAAAATAGAATGGAGAGTGAGAATTGGAGACAATAATATGCTAAGAAAAATTAAAACACACAAAAGCATGAAGGGAGAAAAAGTAGCTGACCCCAACAGAATTTACAGCGATTCCTGTTGGAAAAAATAGTAATCACAGGCACGGGCTGTCACAGAGAGTCGGGCAGAAGCGTCAGGTCTATACAATGGGAAAGAGCGAAAGCTCAGTCTGCTGCCACAGGCTCATGCTGCCAGCCAGGCAGGCACAGCATAGCCAGCAACCACACCTCAGCAGGAAGCAGTTCCTCATCTATCCAGACAGATTTTTAATTTACTGCGTACTGTTAACATGTGCTCAGCTTAATTCCGAGATTCAGTGTACCCCGTTCCATTCCTTGCCAGGATTGATTTTTTTTTTTGACATCTATAATAATTTAGACCGGTGGTTCTCAACATGTGGGTCGTGACCTATTTCGGGAGTCGAACAACCCTTTCGCAGGGGTCTCCTAAGACAAGTGGAAAAACACAGATATTTACACTATGTTTCATAACAGTAGCTTAATTACAGTTAGTAAGTAACAGTGAAAGAGATTTTACGGCTGGGGATCAGCACTACCTGAGGAGCTGTATTAAAGGGTTGCAGCATTCGGAAGGTTGAGAACCACAGCTTCAGGACCCTACACAAACTTCCGCCTCTCTGCTGTGAGCTTTCCCTTGGCTCATTCATGCAGGCACACACACCGGATTCTTCCTGGTTTCTAGTTATGGTTATGTGCCTGAGGAATTCTGTTTGTTGTAGGCCACTCTTCTTGGCCTCACATAAGGCAGAGATCAGGTCTTAAATAATTTTGCTTCCTTTATGTAAATTAGTGAGAAAATTGATGCCTACACAACATTGTAAATCATTTGACAACTTCCGTAGTATTTTCTCAATATGATGAAGTAGATAATCAACCTTATATAAATTTAGGATGGAATATGATGAAAAGGGGATTAACATCGCTTAGTAATACCAGAGACAATGCTGGGGGTACAGTGCGGTGGTATAGCACTCACCTAACAAGCATGTGGTGCTGGCTCAATCCCAGGGCCAATCAGTAAACAGCACCGCTGAAAGCGCTTTCAGCGGCAGGTGAATACAGCAGTCCTTCGCTGTGAAGATCCAGCCCCTGTCCCAGGCGAGCAGGCTCAGGAAGCACCCACAGCACTGCCTAGTGTCTAAACCCACAGTGCCAATGACATCACTTATTAAACGCTACCTACAACATGGTAAGAACCTTTGAAGGACTGACCCTCTTCCAACTCCAACAGAACAATAAAATGTTTGCCTTTTAAGGCAAATGTGACCAAAGACCACAGGAAGGGAGAAATGCAGGATTTCCTCCAGTTTGTCAACACTGTGAGTCACTATCTGTTCCACACAATGGGACACACAACCACTCACAGGCTCTCCAGCCTTTGGCCTCTTTTAGCAAAGTATATACTGGTCCTTCAAAGGTGGGATTCCTGTCACCTCATTCTCTGCGCTTCTTCAGCCTCATTTGCCACACAGAGAATCTGAGAGACTTTTCTATAACTGTGGGAGGTTTGCTGTCAACTGAAGTTAAGAAAACAAAAAACAAAAAACAAAAGAGTTTTTAACCCAGGTCAGTCCTTCAGAATCCAGGCAAGATGAGGGCAGAGGCCAAGTCATTGTGGAAGAACTGACCTGGTCACAGAGGCCCTGTTATAAAAGAGATTTAAGATGGAGTTAACCAGAATCAGCCACAGGACTCAGAAGTCTGAAAATTCCTACCTCCAAAATAAATGCATGTCCTGCAGTGCCCAGTGTGTCTTGTTTTATGCCCAGAATGCAAAACAGAAGTATGGATCTTAATTCATACTTCTGCTGACTTAAAGCCATCCTCCACAAAATCAGCAATGAACAATGATCACCCAAACCCCAAATCGGGTAAAGTCCCATGGCCTGTGACCACTAGCCATGTTAAAGTCCTAGGAAAAGTTTAAAGTCTTGGGCGTGTGTCACACAGGGACCCGTTCATGACTCTGGTCAAGCTCAACACCCATGTCATTGCCAGTTTAGAGACTATGTTTAGCTGCTGATACCAGTGACTCCAAACTCAAGGTCTCAAATGAGTCAGGATTGTTTCTTAGATCCACAGAGACAGGTAGCCAGTGCTGGTTGGTCTTGAACCTCCACTATTAGATCAGGGGGTCAGAGTCCTCAGAGTGTGACCCAGAACATCTGGACAGCCACCTCGGTGAGGAAATGGGAAAGAAAATGTCAGCATGTTAGTCTCTATAGATATTTTCTATAAGAACTCTCTAGAATTCCAGTTTGTTTTATACCCAGAACTCAGCCACATGGTCGCCTGTTATTGCTGAAGCATACGAGGCCACTCAAATCTTGTTTCGGAGAGAATAGAGGATTTGGGGCGTGTCTGCGGGAAGGGCCACTGTGGTGTCTCCCTACTCAAAGGCCAGTCCTTTGAGTCAACGTGGGTCCCGAAATGCTGCTCAGCTCACAGCTGGGGCCAAGACTCTGATGTCGAGCTGCCCAGTGGCTAAGCAGCCTGTTCTTTGCTTCTGGTTTTAAATTTTGGAACAAGTTATATCTACACAGCAGTTTTAAACATTCCTTAAAGCAACAAAATCCTTTTAGTATCAAGTAGCTATAAAATGGCCAGCTGTGTGTCTGGATGTTACCTTGCCAACATTAATTAAGGAGTTGGTCTTATTTTGTTACAAATTGCTGGGCCTAGCAATAATGAGATATTCCAAAGAAATTTACACATGGAAATTTACTAAGACTCTTAATCTGTTTATCTGCAGGCAATTCTATTTCTGAGGGTATTATAAGGAAAGATCTAGACCTTCTGGAGTTTTGCCCAGTTTGATGACGTCTCTTTTAGGAACGGCGCTCACACAATTTAAAAGACAGCTGAAACACCACTACAATAAAACCTTTTTTTTTTTTTTTTTACATATCAAGTGTCCATTTGCGTCCTTGTTCTTCATTATGCCATCAGGTATTACGTGGCACGGGAACAAGATTTCTTTCTTCCTTCCTTCCTTCCTTCCTTCCTTCCTTCCTTCCTTCCTCTCTCTCTCTCTCTCTCTCTCTCTCTCTCTTTCTTTCTTTCTTTCTTTCTTAAGAATTCCATTGCTGGGTCATCAAGTGGGGAGCCTTCTTGCTCGCTCCGAATTAAATGGGGTATAAATTTCCCCAAAGCCTTTGGGCTTACGTGTTTGGTTATTGATTGCCCTATAACATTATGTGCCAGGTGTGGTTGAGCTTGCACACCCTTTGAAGGACTTTTGATTTGCCTGTTGATGTGTGTAAATCCTCAATGTCCAGAGGCTCCTTAGTGAAGAATCTGCCTATTCCTTAAGCGTTGTTTGTGATCCCCAAACCATTACCGGTAACACATTCACAGACACACGCAAGTACTGAAGAGCTTATGTCTCCCGCCGCCTGTTCTGATCCTTACCGAAGCCCTACCCAAGTGATACTGTGCTTTCATGCATCGGACCCACATGTGAAACTGTGCCAAGGGGGTCGGCTGTAACTCAGCGATAGAGGGTTGGTCTCGAATGTCAGAGGTTCAAGGTTCAAAGCCAGGACTGCAAAAACCACAAAATACCTAAAGTAGTACTGAGCATGGCACTGTGCCCCAAAACACAAGAGGCCTCTGTGTCCTCATGCAGAAACCAGGCAGGTGGTTGGACTGCACATCAGCAGGAATTGTACAGTTCTGCTGACTGTGACGTCAAAGCGACTCTTTCAACTATGTTCACTGGTTAAGGTTTCTTAAGAAGCTCGCCCCAGATCAGGTGTATACTCACTCACCAGTTGATAAAAATGTGAACAGAGTCTCTGCAAGACCAAACCCTACACCTCCCCAAATCACCCATACATATGCTCAGTCCTAGGGCCTCCTGGGACTTTATAGAGTAAAAGGACCACACAGAATGAGAATTGCTGCCTTTGATTTGCTCTAGGTGGTTCGTGGGGTAGCAGCCCTTTCTGATGTGGGATGCCCCTCTGTAGGCTGTGAATATGTTTTATTATCATTGATTATTAAGGAAGCTGATTTGGCCAATAGTCAGGCAGAATAGAGCCAGCAGGAAATCAAACAGAGATACAGGGAGAAAAAAGACGGAGTCATAGAGATGCCAGCAGCTGCCAGAGAAGCAAGACGTGCGGTAACAAGCCTTGAACCTCATGGTAAAATATAGACTAATAGAAATGGAATAATTTAAGTTCTAAGAGCTAGTTAATAATAAGCCTGAGCTAGTAGGTCAACCAGTTTGCAATTAAGCCTCAGAGTGATTATTCAGGAACTGGCAGGTGGGAGAGAAACATCCAGCTGTGCCTTTCTCCACACAGTCATGGCCAGGCTCAAGGGGCTGTTGTCTACTGCAGAAAAAGAGCAGAGGAAAAAAGCAGAGGGGCTGATCCCATAATGCTCTCTGACTGGTGAGAAGAATTAGAACTACATGACTGTGTCATCTAGTGATAAGTCAGCGTCCCAGCCAGCAACGTGGTGTTCCCCAGAGAGATGAGTCACTTCCTCCTATCTGGGCAGAGCAGTGTGGTAGCCAAGGACTCAACTACTGGTGTCAGAACATTAGGATTCCCCCCCTCACACGCACACACACACACACACACACACACACACACACACACACACACACAGTCACACAAGGGTTGTTCATTTAAAATTACTCAACACCATTAATCTATAAAATAAACTATTATTTTATTTTATAAATAAATATCCTAGTGATATTTATAATATTCTCATAGTGAGAATATCCTAGTTCTCACTATGGATCATACAAATGATTGAGAAATACTGGAGATTCTCAAGAAAGGGGATCTAATAGGACAGTAATGAAGAGAAGAGAAGACGGGGAGGGAGGGAGGGAAGAAGGGAGAGAAGAGGAGGGAAGGAAGGAGAGAGGAACATCTGCTTGTTCCTGTCCTTACCCTCTGTTTCTTGCCCCAGCTGAAGCAGATGTTGGCAAGCAGAACTCTTAGCAAAATGGCATGAGCTGTGCTATGCCTGTGTTAGTGTGTACACGGTGCCTGTTCAAGATGCTGGTGTGCTCATTCGGGGTCTGAGCATTGTTGAGGGGGTAGCACTGGTCCGTACATCTTATGCAGCATCTTCCACGCGGTCTTGGGAGAGCTGGATTGCTGTTTCCTTCCGGTTTGGTTGTGAGTACTTTCACGCTGCCTTGTCATCGCTGAGAGTGTCACCGGAGTCACCTTTGTTTCTGAGACTGTTTAAACTCGGATGCTTACCCAAAGTCACTAGCAATTTATCTTGTCATGGGCCACTCTATTAGGGACTCAGGAGATGACACTGGATTAATGGGAAGTATCAGACTATTCATTTTTAATGAGAACCCAAAATTCATCTCAGTATTCCTTTCTCATGTCGCATGGTGAGATTAATTTGCATCCATATAAGATAAGGAAAAGGTAAGTGCTGGGGTGTGAAATGAGGGTTTGTGTCTCACAGCATTCTCACGGTGTCCACTGTGGAAACATCTTCTAGGGCAGTGGTTCTCAACCTTCCTAATGCTGTGACCCTTGACTACAATTCCTTATGTTTTGGATGAGCCCCAACCATAAAATTATTTCATTCCTACTTCATAACTGTAATTTTGCTGCTATTATGAATCATCATGTAAATTTCTGATGTTCAAGATAATCTGATATTCACCACCACAAAGGGGTCGAGATCCACAGGTTGAGAACCTGTTCTGGGGTCCACAGCTGCTGTCCTCTTAGTATGGGATGCTCTGCAGAGTGAAGAGTTCCTAGGCTTCTCTCTCCCGAGACAGTGCCTGAATTTAATCCAACATCTGGCGTGATAAAGAGACAAAGAGAAATAGAAAAGGGTCAGACAGAGATGAGGGGAAATTAAAGGAGAGATAGAGAGGGAGAGAAGAAGGAAGAGGAAGTGGAAGAGGAGGAAGAGGAGGAGAGAAGACAAGCAACTATGAAAATTACCACCATAACACCCCATCCTTCTTTTAGAAATTGAGATGACCTACAAAATTAATTTAGATTATTGCTTCACTATTTAGCATTAAGTAATTATTTATTTATATAAATTATTATTAAAATTATCATTTATAATAATGATTAAAACAATGACACAAACATTGTTTTAAAAGGGGATAATAAACATGAAGCATCTGTTGAACTGGGGATCTCTGACCAATGACATTTACAAACAGTGTCTCCATCTAAGTCTGTGTGCTGATGCTGAAGCCAAGGTAAGGATCTCTGAGATGTCAGCTGGGCAACAGACAGGTGCATCCCAGCCAGGCATGTGATATGGGGGAGCGGCTGGCCTTCTGAACTACCCCAACTCATAGATGCCCTTGCAATAGCTGTCTTAGCCTAAGAGGGAATGCCCTTGGGAAGCTCCTGTTTGTAATTCATTCTGGATTTTAAAGAAACTCAAGAGAAGAGCATCTTCCAAAGTCTAGGTGACACTTCCAACATGATCTTCTGTCATGTGAATGAGTTATCTAGATGTGTTGCTGAGCCAAGCTTTAGAAGGTTGAAGCTAATAATGCCTGCAGGAAAACATACCAGAAATGACAGGAAAACTAACGCACAGAGCCAGGTCTGCCACAAAAGTGGCTTTAATATACTGTTATTAATAATAGTTGTGTGTGCACAAAATTTAAAAAAAAAGGTTTAAAATTATCTGTAGTAAGAACAAGTATTGATATTTTTTAAAGTAATAGTAATGGAGTTTATTATAACTGTAATATTGTAAAAGTTCAATAGTTAAAACAGGAATATTTAGGAGGTAAAAAGAATAAGACATTCAAAGGCAGACAAACAGGACGAAGAGTTAACTGTATCAAGGAGTAGATTTTCTGATAATTTTTAATTTAACTAACAAAATTTAATATAATTAATAAACAAAACCACAAAGTTAACCCTAGACAAATGTCCCATATTGTTTCAAATCTGTGACAATAATGGCATTTCATCTTGTCTCTTCCCTTCTCTAAATTCCTGTCCTCTGAGCAGGCCCAGTGGAAATACCACTCCCTACTTAGACACTTTTGTGAGTGCTTATGTTTGCACTCAAAGCTCCCTGCCCAGACTATGAAGGTGCAGGGACCCGCTGATGTCACCAACTGCATCATGGTTCGTGATTCCATCTCCCCATTCTACCCCTGTGGAGGGAGCGCCTTGCAAGTTCTCACTGCACAGACTTGGCACACGCTGTTGTTGTTGTGAAGGCTTTTCCCCAGGTACTCCTAGGATCTGATCATTTGGTTCTTTCCCCTCTCTCACCCATAAGTGAACCTTCTACTGTCTGATTTCATCTCCAGTATGAACTTATAATGACCGAAAATAGTCTGTTCATGTGTCCGTCTATTTATCTGTCAATTTGAGTTGGTGGCTGTGAATCTACAGACACTAGATTGTAACTCAGTGAGGGCAAGAATTTCCCTCACCGTTCCCACAACTCGAGCACCCAGACATTATCTGCTGTGTAGCAGGCTTGCAACAGAGCATGGGTTCAGACATCTTCTAGTGAGGAGGGTCCTTCCAACACGCAAACCAGAGAAAACATAGTAAAAAGTATTCACATACCACATGTAGACTTAAAAATCTACACAAGAAAAAAAAACCCTCAAGACTAATATTATAAAACAAAGTAAGGAGAATATTTTCAATGTGTTTGTGAGGGGTTAATATATTTCTTACAGGTTAGATATTTTGAGGAAGAAAGGAAAACATGAGTCCCATCAGAGAAAGCACATGGCAAACAGATGAAGCAGAGAACACAAGCAGTGTCGACACAGGAAACAGCTGGCCTTCTCACTATGCGCAAAGGAAGTGCAAACAATGAGGTGTGTTCATTTCAGCCGTGCTCACATCTGGATGGAGCACAAGGTACTGCTGGAAGGAATACAGGGCATTTTGTCCCCATGGTTCCGCCGAAACGAGATTTCAGAAAAAGACTTGGGGACTGTGGTTGTGTGTGTGTGTGTGTTTCTGGTGTCACTTATGAATTGTTAAAATCACAGGTTCTCAACAAGGCAGTACTTGTTAATATGCAGTGTGTTTATACAACCACAACACAACAGCTACTTAAAACCACACTCATGAAAAATTCACATACTGTGCACATACATGGATATTTATACTGTCCTGATGCATACAATAACTCGGTGTTATACACACACACCTTTTCTTGGTAGACGTATCATTTTTCTGTGCTTATATTTTATGCATATCCATGCAAAGACGAATGAAAGAAAATATAATAGCATGTAAGTAGTTCTCATTTGAAGCCAGAAAGACTGGTCAATTTATATTTGGAATAATATGTCTGTGAGTTTTAGAAGCTGTTAGAAGCCTTTATTATTTTATGTTAATTTAAAAAACAAAAAACAAATCATGAAAAAAATGGCATTTCATTCTTGGAAAATTAGGTTTCTTTATTATGTTAGGAAGTAATCATGAAGCAAATGAAGAAATTGGGGTAAAATATGGAGTGTTTTCACATCGTATTTGACTTAGGTGGATCCTGTTCTTTCTTAACCATTTAGTTATTGATGTTTAAATCCCAGCATTCATAGTACAAACCACACTGTAATCTACATCATACACCCCACAACTGATACAAAGCCTCATCACGAACATTATGATAAAGGATTTTATCCAGAGATGGTCTGGATTTAGTTCTGCTTCTGAGGCCAGCAAGTTCATATGTTCATTCAACAGACCATACAATATTCAGGCAACCATCTAGATATTGGGGAGACACAAATAATCAGTGCACCTTCAAATGTCTACCTATTGTGGATGTATATACAAGTATTACAGATATAAATATATAGATATAAATGTCATCAATTAGTGTACTTTTTTCCATGTATTGATACCTGAAATTGCTTCACAGGGTGGCATACACCGTGGTTTAAACAGCATTATGGGATGGCCAATTGGGTAGAATTCATGATTAAACCCTGAATTAGTTTCCTGGGACTTTCTTAGAAATCAACACAAATTGATTAGCATCAAACAACACAGATGTCTTTACTGTCAGCCCTGGGAACTGAAGGTCTGAAGTCATGGTGTCTGGAGAAGATGGACGGAAAATGTTATTTCTGAAGCTTCCCCTATGGAGACACTTTGCATGTCTCTCTACAAATAGAGACTGGCTTAGTTAGGGTTTCTAGTGCTGTGACAAAAACACCATGATCCAAGCAACCTGGGGAGGAAAGGGTTTATTTGGCTTATACTTCTTCATCACTGTTCTTCATCAAGGAAGTGAGAACAGGAACTCAAACAAGGCAGGAACCTGGAAGCAGAAGCTCATGCAGAGGCCATGGAGGGGTGCTGCTTACTGACTTGTTCCTCATGGCTTGCTCGGCCTGTTTTCTTATAGAACCCAGAACTACCAGACCAAGGATAGCACCACCCACAGCAGCCTGGACCCTCCCCCAGCAATCACTAATTAAGAAAATGACCTTCAGCTGGATCTTATGAAGGCATTTTCTTCAGTGAAGTTCCTTCCTTTCAGATGACTTTAGCTTGTGCCAAGCTGACATAAAACTAGCCAGCACAGGAATGAAAGGGAAGACACTTTCCAACAGACATAAGTGAAATGAAGAAAATTATTAGAATATGAAATAAAAACCTATATGCCACTATGATGGAAATCTAAAAGAAATAGATTAAATTCTAGATGCATATGACCTACTGTCTTAGGGTTTTTATTGCTGTGAAGAGGCACCATGACCATGACAACTCTTAGAAGGAAAATATTTAATTGGGGTGGCAGCTCGCTTACAGTTCAGGGTTTCAATTCATTATAATCACGATGGGGCATGCAGGCAGACATGGTGCTGGATCTGAGAGTGCTATATCTTGCAGGCAGTAGGAAGTCAACTGACTGTCACAATGAAGGCAGCTTGAGCAAAAGAGACCTCACAGTCCACCCCCACAGTGACACACTTCCTCTAGCAAGGCCACACCTCCTAACAGTGCCACTCCCTTTGGGGGTCATTTTCTTTCAAAGCACCACATCTATCAAAATTAAAACAAGATGAGATCGATAATTTAAACAGATCTATAAACAGAGCGACGTATTTGGAACAGTAATTTAAAAAAAACCCTCCTAACTAAATACATTCCAGGGGCTGGGGTTCTAGAAATCCCAGGGTCCCCTGCTTGCCTTCTGCCTTCTACCACTGATCTGCATCCAGCCTGTGTCTTCTGTGTGTAATTTGATGTCCGTGTGAGGTGAAGGAGTGCAGGGCTACTGGAACAGTCAAAATCCCATCTTTGCACAGCCCAAGTCTCTCCCGTAGCTGCTTCGGAAACTCAGGCAGGGTGGGGGAGATCCAACCTTGCAGCTGCTGCACAGCACCCCGCCCCTCCCCCCATTTCCCTTTGGATTGAGCTGAGGCTTGGTTGGGCTGCCAAGAATGGCAGTACACGGTGTGGACAGTGAGCCTGACCAGTTAGGAGGAGCGCCGGGAACTCGGCGTTCTGAAGGGACTTTAAGGTCAGACAAACAGAAAGTTCTGGAAATGAGCCGCAGACTGCTGGTAAGGAACCAGTCTAGCTCAGGTGAACTTAATTTGCCAGAGTAATGCACAGAGTTCATCGGGAAGACAAACCAGAAGCAGGTTCTCAATACATACTTCATAATTTAGTGCTAGGCGCTGTTGGTCACGTGTGAAACCCAGTCGGAGAAACAGTGGCTGATCATGGAGGAGAAATCGTGGCAGCTATGGCAACAGAGGCTGTTCTCGCTAACTATGGTCAGCTGGCGGGAGGGAAGTGAGGTTACCTACCGTGCAGATGCCTGTTCTGTTATCCTCAGAACCTACAAAGTTCTCCTCCTCTGCCTGAAGATAGAGGGTGTTGAGTCTCTTTCCAGATGCAGAGAAAGCCTGGACCGAAGGAAAGGCAATCATTGTCAGGAGTTACCAGGAATTGGGGCTGGGATGCAAAATCCCAGTTTTGCCAGTCACACTTTCAACAGAACAGTTAATTTGATCCACATCCGGTGGTTCACAACCTCTTGCAACTATAATTCCAGGGCATCTAAGGCCTTCTCCTGGCCTCTGCAAGCATAGGGAGCGTATGTATGCATGCACGAACACACACTTCTTAAGCTTATAATGATTGTTGGTAGGGCCCTCAAACCAGCTTGGATCCCCTGAGAAGCTTCTCACTCTCTTGAATCTTATCTGGCAAATCAGTTGTACAAATCTACAGGACAGAAAGCAGGACAGGCCTCTGCCTCATTTACCCCAATTCATCCACTGAAAGGCCGAAAGAACTGTCTCCTGTAAGTAATTTCTAAATAATTTAAAGTAAAATTTAGAGTGCAATAAACCAGAAATGACATTTAATAAGATTGGAGACCATGTGTAGTGTATTATAACTTGGGAAGAAAAAGGCAAACACCATATGAAGATATGGAAAGACCATTTTAAAAGGAAAAGAACTAAAGGTCAATGCAGTCTAAAGGGCTCAGTCCTGCTAAATGATGCCTATTTGTCAAAACGAAACAAAGGTCAGAGGGTTTGTGGTACTTCCTCTGCATCCCAGAAGCACCCATGGCATGGTGCACTAATCTCCCTGGGCCTCTGAGCTCACCAACACTCTACAGACTCTTCCCTTTCTCTTCCTGGACCATCTGTGCTTCAGTCTGTCTTGACTCAAGTTTGTCTATAGAGATAGATGCCGAGGCTCGCCAGCCTCTGTGGAACTTGCTTGGAAGTCTAAATCGTCTCAAATTCACCAATCAATAAACAGTAAATTAACAGTCAAGGCTGCCCCCGGTCCCCATCCCTTGTCAAGGTCTCCTTCTACTGTCATGGTCTGGGAGCTTCTGTCCCTTTCTCCTGCAACGGTGAAAAGAAGGAGCCCTGACATCGTTTCTTTAGGAGACAGCCAAGTAGATGGGAGATGTGTGCAGAAGTAAGTTTGGGAACATGAGTGGATGGCAGATCAGAGGGCGGGAAAAGCGAATGCCCACGTGGTCTGAACTGTGGAGACACATTTCGGCAAGTCTGCACTGCAGTCGAGGGGACTTTTAAAGTAATCTTGGGTCATTGTAATGGTGGCCTTAGACGAGTTAGATTAGCTAGATTAGCTAATTTAGATTCATTTCTGTTGTTCCAGGGATGGCTCTGCTTATGTTGTTCAGGGTGTTACAAAGATCCAGCAGGCTTTTTCAGACCATGAAAGGTGGCCCATTAGACATAGGGTCAGTCTCATGACCTCTAGCCTGTCTTTGATAACAGGTGAGAGACTAGAATAAGAATAGAAAACAGAACATGACACAAGGCTAGAATGTTTCTTTCTGACACTTGTGTTTCAGTTACAGTGTTCATCAGTTATCTGTATGTTATTATACATGTATATGCTTTCTTATACCTAATGGGAAAATGTTATACTTTAGATCTGTGTGTAACTTGGAGATGCAGGCTGTGGTGTGAAAGTCATAGAACAAAAAACAGTAAGTGTTCCAACTAATAATCTACTATTCTAATATGCTAAATTGTCACCCTAAGCATACCTGACCACTCTCAGAACAGATTCTTTTCCTCTCTGAGTTTATCAAGGCGAGGCTAAGACACTGTGAGGGCGGACATTTCAATATTTGAAAGATGGGAGAAACTCAATGCGACGGTGCAGGGTTGCTGCCCTAGCCTGGAGCAGGGATGGGCAGGCTAGGAGGGTCATGGACTTTGTGAGTTCCAAGCCAACCTGCGCCATACCCTGACACCCCATCTCAAAACCAAACTGGAAATAAAAGACGGCAGCGACAGATGGCTAGAACTGGCCCTTTCCACTCTTCTCTGGTTGTTGTCTAGGTGCCCGAGCTTTGTCCCTAATTTGAGTCACTTTGCCTCTAAAGCAAAGTAGGTGTTGGTAGATCGTGGCGGGTTTGCCAGTGTTCTCTCATCAGCATCTTTAGATCGCAGGTAAACAGAAGTGGTCCTAGCGCGCGTTCAAAAGAGTCACCGCAAACCCACATACAGATATGCCAAAAAGTCTGTAAACTAAACTATAATCAAATACAAATGCAACGTGTACTATTTATTCATTTAGTCACCCCCCCCCGCTTTTTTCCTCTCGAGACAGGGTTTCACTGTAGCTTTTGGCTTTGGAGTCTGTCCTGGAACTAGCTCTTGTAGACCAGGTTGTCTCGAAACTCACAGAGAGAGATCTGCCTGCCTCTGCCTCCCAAGTGCTTGGATTAAAGGTGTGTGCCACCACCCAGCTCTATTTAGTTTTTTCGAGATGGGGTTTCTCTGTGTAGCTTTGAAGCCTGTCCTGGAACTAGCTCTTGTAGACCAGGCTGGCCTCGAACTCACAGAGATCTGCCTGCCTCTGCCTCCTGAGGGCCAGGATTAAAGGCGTGTGCCCCCACCATCTGGCACAAATGCAATTTTTAAAATGTGGTTTGTATGGTCCCCTTTTAATCTGTTGGCACCTATCACACAGGCCCACTGTCTGCTGTAAAATCCTCTAAATACCTTAAGTGAGAAGCGTTGTCTCTGCCCAGGCTAGTTTCACCCACAAAGCATTTCAAAGCTTCAAGGTCGGGTGGGCTGTGTACAGGTATTAGAAAGTTAGACACAGTCCATTTGCTTCGATGTAAAGCCAGATGTGGGTACTCCAGTTAGGAAAATAAGGTACATTAGAGAGGCTTTACGCATCCGGTACCAGCTGCAGGACTCACGAAACTCCGAGGCGCACACCAGAAATCCTCATTTGTCTTGGATCCACTTTGAGAACGGTGGAAATACCCTAGCGTCCCGTCGCCAGATGTGCCCTGTGGAGTGGGTGGGGGCTCCAGGTGGGAGGAGATCGCTTACAAAGGCTTATTTTAGCTCTAGTCATAGAATATAGAAACACGCACGCTGCTATAGATATTACAAACATCTCGTGCTCACTTCCTTAGAAAAACATGTGAGTTTATGTTCACAACTGTTTTCTTTTGAAAGGGGCTGTAAACACCAGGACTCAGTATTTGAATCTGGACAGTTAATTAAGATGTTAAAAAGGAACAGCTTATCTTTGGTTTCTATTTTAGGCAAGGCTTCAAATATAGACTGATGGTTTAACCAAAGACAGCTGTTTCATTTCTCATGCAAAAGCGTCGTTCAAAATGAAGCGCTTTGTAAAAAATTTTTAAAAAAAAGAAAGAAAGAAAAAATAGGCTTGTTCTGTAATTCCTTCCAATAGATTTGGGGATTTTTCCCACAACTACACTGAAAGGATTTGGGAATACTTTTGGGTCCTAGGGGTTTTGTTTGGAGGGGGGTTGGTTTTTGTTTTGTTTTGAATTTGTGTTTCTTTGGAATTTATTATTTCCTTTCTTTGATGTAAACTACATGTAGGCATAAAAATTTCTAAATAAAACTACTACCCTTAATTTAAGGGTATAATAATTACAGAATATACTTAACAAAGTTTCCTGGAAAAGTCTGAGCTAACTTTAAAAAGGATTAACTATACTCAAAAAAAAAAAAAGATAAAGATAAAAGAAAAAAACAAAGAAAATCTGGAATGGATTTCATATGAGGATACGGGGAATATAGTGTGATCCCCGACGAGTCCTCTTGGTTTAAATCTCAAATGCCAAATATTTAAAAGATTTTTTCTCTTAAAGAATTCAGAACAATGTGAAGTAACTTCAAATCGAGGTTCCGGATTTGCATGTGGGCGGCATGCAGACAGCTGCAGCCTGGCTGAGTTGTTGGCAATTGCTCCTGCAGAAAGAATGGAAATCACAGGGGCTCTCATCAGTACCCCGTCTTACTTCCTGGCTCTATACGGACCTTTTGGTGTCCTGTGTGCATTACCAAACTTGGTTTCCTCTCATGTCCTGCCAAGCTTCGGCCTCCCTGTCTTAGGCTTCTACCAACCTTAGCATTGGCCTGGGCCTTACCCTTGACCTGGATTCCCTCTGCCACCCAATTCTGAGCAAGCATGCTTGTCTTTGTTTCCAAAGCACACTTAGGACCAGCTGTTCACTCTCTGAAGACACGATTGTTCTCTTTGGTTGTTTTTGATTGCCCAGTAGCCAAAGTAATTTTTTAAAGATAGAATTTAAAAGTTTAAGTCACTTATCCTGCATGCTGTGTTTAAAAGTCTAACTATTTCACCCACAAGAGGACTATAAATCTTTACTACAACCTCCATCTCCCTGCAGCCTCTGAGCCCTGGCTACTCACCAGGCTTAGTTTTCTCTGGTCTCTTCTTTGCTTTCTATTTTCAGGGCATCTGATCTTGTATGTGCTTCCCTGACTTGGAGCTCACTCTGACTTTTGCTTTTCCTTCTTTGCCTCTGGAGATCCTCTTCTGCCTAGATTCTACATCTGCATCAAGTCAGCTCCCATACAATGCAAGGCACGGCCAATCCGGTTTTTGTTGTTTGTTTCAAGACAGGGTCTCCCTACCTAGCTCTGGATGGTCTGGAACTCTCCATGTCAACAAGGTTGACCTAGAACTCATCAAGTCTCTCTTGCCTCTGCCTCCCCCGTGCAGAGACAGTGGTTTCATGCCTGCACAGCCCTTACAGTTTGAATAAAGCTCTCTCTTGTGCCTCTCAGTCTCTGGCACTTATGACCTCCTCTTTGTACGGCTAGATGCTCTCCTGTTCACTCAACGTTTCTTCGGGTTCTGCAAACAGAGGGACAATGTCCATTTCCCCTAATTTGCTCCTCAGGTATGTTACCTGGCACATAGTGGGTATCAGCAGTAGCAGTGAATGAATCTATAAACCACTGAATGAAGGAGTGGAAGGATAAATGCAAGGGAGTCAGATAGAAAATTCAAACTGTAGGAGATACGCGAATGGGAACACAGAGGAGAACGGCAGGCAACATGCAGTACTTGCTGACAGGAAGTGACAGCCCTATGACTCTGTCATCTGATGGGCTCCAAGATGTTGGGAAACTTCTTCAACTTCTGGGATGTTCCATGCTCTCATGAGTAGATGAGAACGCTAGTGTTGTGAAAGTCAGGTGAGATAGAGGATGTGAAAAAAAATCTGTATCCTAGCAACATGGCATCCCTATTGCTAAGGCCAGAATGCTCGTGGCTTTGCAGTCGAAACTTATGGATCAGAGAGTTCAATGGTTTGCTTTCAGGTGAGCATGCTCGCTACTACTGAGTTACACCCAGGTGTCCTAGACGCCAGGGTTTTCCTACAGGAAAAGTAAGTAACCCAGGCCAAAGATCAGAAAATGTTCTCAATCATGATTAAAACAATATCTGAAAGCAAGCTGGGGGTTCATCATCTCTTTAGTGTCTCTGAGTCTAATACTTTCCTGCATTAGGTATTCCTACTTAGTAGATGGTTCCTTCCGTGTGTTTTCTAAATCCCCTCCTTTGAGCACAAAACTAACAATTCATATTGGTTGGGGCAAACATTTCATCTCTTCATACAATACGCAAAGACCAGGAAATTAACGCCCAGAAGGAACGACACTGGTCGCGTTCCTTTAAAATACCCTCACCGGCTCTCGTCTTTATTGCAGGGATTAAAAACGGTCAGGCATCCAGGTGCAAGCTGGGAGTCCCCTCGAGCCGCTTTTCGATCCCCTCTTCCAGGTCAGTAGCTGAAAATAGTTAGACAAGGAAGGGAGTAAGCAGGTGCCAAGGGCTTCCCAGCGGTGTGGAGTTTCCCTTGGCTAAGTGCACGGGTCAGATTTGTGTCACGTTGCTGGCTAATAGAAACTGACGCTGTTTCCCTGTGGACAGGCTTGTCACCTAAACAACTTTGAAACTCCTTCATGTCTCAAATTCATGTGAATGCTTTTAGGCAGCCCTTCAAGAGTGCTGCTCAATACATTTATATATATATATATACACACATATGTAGTATTATTTATTATACATATACATTTACATGTATACACACATATGTAGTATTATTTATTATATAATAGTTTTATTATGCAATATATATTGTTTAAAGAGCCAGAATTCATGAAGACAGAGCTTATTGGGAATTTGAGAATACTCTGACATGGGGATTAAGTTCACAGACTTCAGAATCAGGACATTCTGGATCAAGTCTTCACAACTGGAAGAAAGTATTCAGCTCTGTCTGCTGCATTAACAAGTTGCTACAAATTTCTGTGTCTTAAAGAACAAAAGTTGTTATCACACATGTTAGGAAGCCTGCAGTCTCAACCAGTTAGTTTTCAGGGATACAGTCCTTCTGGGGGGCCCCCAAGAAGGAATCAGAGGACTGGAAAATGGCTACTCCTTGGTTTATGGTTCCTTCTACCATCTTGAGAGCCTCAGCTCAGTTTCACTTCTGACCCTCTGCCTCTCTCTTATAAAAGACTCTTGTCGCCCAGTGGGCTGACTTCTGAAACAGGGTGAATGGCAACACCTCAAGACTCTCAGCTCATGTCTGCAGAGTCTCGTTGGCGGATGCAGTGCTGCAGAAGCGGCCAGAAATTGTAGCAGCTCACACTCAGAAAAATCCAGTTATAGCATGCATTAGCATGACTGTTATAGGGTAGACAACCACCTTCTTATTGGATTGAAGGCACCATCCCTAGAAGGGAATTCACGCTTGCTATGTAAACCTGGCTAAAAGCCGATGACTGTGGATGTCATGGGCTCTAGATAGGAACCTACTACTGTTTTACTGAATGGATATGGTGTCAAATCCATAACTATGTCTTCTAAATATTTACTTTTATTCTCATAGATTAGTGCTACTAGTGCCAGAGAATAAGGTCCGATCAGAAAGGCTTCTGTTTGCAGTGGGTGATGGTTCATGCAGAGACTTATGACTGGACAAAGCACGGAGAATAAGTGACCATTGCAAGCTCATCCCTAAGGGGGGCATGTGTTTCAATCTCTGCAAGACTCAGGGGACATCACAGATGAAGAGGAAGAAAAAAAAAAAACACAGGAGCCAGAGGTGGGGATGAAGGCTGTGAAATGCTGTCTTCTGCACATGGCAAGGGGATGGTATTCATGAACTCATAGGAGACATGGGCACCTGCACGAGGCTTTTCCAGCTAACGTTCCAGTCTGGATAGAGAAGGGGATCATGAAGCCCCCACCTTTCCCTGAGGAGCAACTGTCAGTTAATGGTTGCTGGGGGAGGGAGAATTTTCTTTGGTGGCGTAGCCACGGCTAAATTGCCTGTGCTTTCATAAACAAGCAAAACTCCCTACTCATACTCATGCATGCAGCCCTAAATAAACTCGGTGAGTCACAAGAAAATAGAAAAACAAACAAAATAAAACACAAGACATGTACGTAAGAGAGAGACTTAGTGGGAAGAATAAAGGATGTGTCAGGGGTGGAAATAGATGAAAGAGGGGATTGAATTCAGGGTGAAAACAACCAAAATGCATTATATCCATGTGCAAAATTATCAAGGAACTTTTAAAATTTAAGGAAAGCTACTGGAGTGATTTCAAGAGTAATTCTAAGTGAAGTCACATCAACTGGTCTATTGAAGATCTCTTGTCTGGGTGCTGGGTAGAGCATAGAGATCATTGGTGGGGTCAAGAATGCAGGCAAAAGGCTTGGTCTCAGCCCTATTGAGAGGGGATAGTGTCACAGGCTCGTTGCATGAGAAAGCAAATCTACAGAAAGAGATCACAGGCTAAGCTTTATAACAGAGAGTCCTGGGTATCTATGCTTGCAAAGGGGTAGGAAACAGGGGCTGACAGAGGGAGCGCTCAGCCAGTACCACTAATGTTCTGAAGTCCACTTGCCCTCTCAGTGCTAGGAGAACAGCAGGGTGGGATTTCAGCATCTCATGTTGAAGATCTCCCAACTAACCCACTCCTCCCTCCTAGTAACCTATTTCTCCTGGTGAACTACCACT